AACATTCACACATTCTTCTCCAATCTTATTCAGTACATTAGTGAATACAAAAGCTGCCCATCACCCTATTTCACTTGATGTTTTCCAACCTGCTTCCCCATGCTGCCCACATTTCTCAGATGAAGATCTGCTTTTTACCCTTCACCTTGTGCCACTAAATAAGGTCTCAGTGTCCTCCTGGCCTCAGCAATCAGTGTCTTAGAGCTAAGATATCATCTCCATACTTAGCAAAATCCCAGAGGCAGACTTCTATTAAGTGCAGCAAGCATTCACTGAGTATCTAACGAAAGGCAGCCCTTGCATGAGGAGAGAAATGGAAAATGGAAAACTGGCCTTCCAGCCAAGCTCCAAAAGCCTCAAGCACACTATGGTCTCTGGCTTCCGCCACCACCATCAGCTGGAGAGCTGTAGGATCTCCACTCCTCTGAAGGGGTCACTCCACCTCCATCTGCCAGATACAGGACAGCCAGCTGGTGCTGGGCACTGCCTGTTGAGGACAGGTTTCTCTGTCTTGCATTACAGATTCAGGACTGTGCACAGTTCTGATGGAAGGCAGGGTAATCCACCACATACAACCGACCCACTGCATGTTCCTGGCACTGGCAGGTCCCCGCAGCTGAACTTGGTATTTTACAGTGGTACAGGGTGGGTATTCGATGGATTGCAACATACCTGAGCTCACCTCACAAATTCCTCCTCCCCTGCCCCTGCATAGTGACAGAAAGTCGGCTTTTTCTCCATGAAACTGGAAGTCCTCGGTGTGAGAGGTCATTTTGGCCTACTGATGTAAACATTTTATGTCCATGTGTGAAAACTTATATATGATGGTCTCTGTTTGTCTGAGAATATGTGTGTGGTTGATGGACAGACTGAGTGGCTACCCTGTGTGCTGCAAAGTGCTTATATTACAGGAGGGCTTTATCAGCCATCAATCTCATAGAACTGATCGTCCTCTTAAGATAATAGAGCCTGCACACAGGAGCTATTCAGCAATTCATACATTTCAGTTAAGGGACCAAAAACTGGGAATGACATAAGCCTGTGGGCTGGAGATGATGCGCAGCCTTATGCGGGGCGGGGGTGGGGGTGGGGCGCATGCAGTCCTGAATAGCAGGCAGCTTTTAGATAAGTGGGCAGGAGCAGGGAGAATGTGCCGTGGACAGATGGACAAAAACATCAGCTGAAAAAAGAGAGGCGCCTATTCCAGAGACAACGAAGCTAGTGTGGCACAGAGAGAGAGATAGAATGTTACTGTCAAAGGAGGCACTTGAGCAAAAAGATCTCATCGATCTCTGGTTTGGAAGTGTGTGAGGAGAGAGGGGTCTCTGTTTCTAAGACCAAGTGGAATCTCAGTTCCTGCAAGAATGTAATGGTGTGAGGTCAGTTCCAAACTACACTGAATATTCTTGCTACCTCTTAAATCTAACCCATTTTTTAAAAAAGAAACTCATGTCTAAGTCTAGGATTCACCTAGATTCACAGGTTAAAGATTTCAAGTTTGAAGTATTTCAGGCAAGGGATTTTATCCAGTTGGATACTAACAGTAAACATGAACTATAGATATGTATTTGACAGAGAATTTGCTCACTAACAAAGCAAGGTGGACTTTTTTAAGAGGCCACAGTGTTTTCCTGTGAGTTATACTCTTTCCTCTTTCTGTCCATAACTTTAAATGAATTTCCCATGTATCCATTCTACTGGCTTTTCACTGAGACCTGAATTAAGCACAGATAGAGTAACAGCACCAGTTTGAAAACTCATGTACTTGCTCTCTTTTGTGCTTTCACTCTGTCTTTGAAAATATACTTATTATAGTATTATATATTATATATGCATATGTAAGTATGAAAATATATGCTTTTCATAAAAATTCTTATAAGTATAACATCTATGGGCATGTGAGCCCATGTGGTTATTTAGGGACATTACATGAAAAGGAGATATTTACCTACCATTTTCCTGCCTGCTGCCATAACACAGAAGAAGACTGCTTTCCAAGTCAGTTTTCATGTTCCTTACATATATGGAAACTACAGCTATAAATGCTTCATCTGTACCTCAGCATTTAAGAAATTACCAACCACCAACCCCCCATTATGACAGCTAGTTGGTGTAAGGCTTTGTGAATTTGAGCACACCACCTTCTTATCCTTTGTGACTGTAGCAATACCCCTGTCTACCTGTGAGGTAGGTTAAATAGCCACTTCCATCCCTCTGTGGCAGGCAGGTAACCTGAGACACAGAAGGTAAAATTACATTCCCAAGATACGATAAAACCTATACCTTAAACAGGGTTGGAACTCAGGCCTCCCAGCTCCTCACCCTAGGACCTGTTCTCTTTGCCACCTGACCGCATCAATTTCAATGGAGGAAACTGACCATTTGAATAAAAACTGTTGAAGTATAACATCATTGGGAGAATGGGTTAATACATACACATATTCATGCAGAAAGCAAAGGATGACATCATGTATTTGATAAGGAGAGAGTGCAATCATGAGCCGAGTAAGTCAGATATCTAATCTATAAGGACTCTTCCCCCAAGTCACATGATATACCACTCAAAATCATCATTTCCTTTCTTGAGTGTCATTTCTTGTAACTCCTGGGACTCTTTGCATATTGATAAATGTATTCTTAGGTCTCGGAATGCTATTCTTTTGGCACTTGCTCAATCTTTCAAACCTGTATCTGTGGGTGCAGGGGTGGGATATAAAGACATCTTTTTTCTTTCTGAACTACAATAAGCTTCAATTGGGTACTTACTGAGCATTGCACACTCTGACAGGTCCTGGGAATTAAATGCCCCCAGAAAATTCAGATTCTAGAGGGAATTTGAGGTAAGGATTATAAAAATTGGGCAGAAACAACATCCTGGTTCTAATTATCTACTGATGTCTTAGCTCTTTTGGTGAAATTAGAATTTTCAAAATAACAGCTAACCGTTCTAGGATGTTTTGGGGAGAATGGGTTAATACATACACATGCAGAAAGCAAAGGATGATATCACATATTTGATAAGAAGTACATATAACCATAAGCCAAATAAGTCAGATATCTAATCTATAAGGACTCTTCCCTCAAGTCACATAACGTACCACTCATGTGGTATGCTTACTATTTATAAGGTTTAATTTGCACATGTATATATGGAGCCCTGATAAATTAGGATAAACGTTTTCAAGTCAGGAGATACGTCTTGAAAATGTCAACTCTTTTGGGATTTAGCTATCCGAGGCAAGATTTGAAACAACAATTAACTCACTACTAGTCAATGTTTCTGCTTGTTTTTATCTAGTGAAAGTAACTCCACAAACAGGGTGAGAGAAGCACAAGAAATGTGAAATAAGAATTTATTTGGTGTGCCACTGATAAGCGGGAGAACTAATTTTTAGCAGAAAAGAATGCCTTACCCCACCCCCGCAGAGGGGTGCAGCACAGCCCCACCTCAGCACTCATCCTTCAGACACAATGTCTGCTGAGTGACCAGCTAACCAGGTGCATAGGGCCCTCACACAAGTTCAGCCTGAGAGGAGTCAGGTGGGGAGCAGAACAAATGTGCCTCACCTCAGGGGAGTTCACAGTCCCTGCTGATGGCATGGTAGGTCTGCTGGGATGAAGTGACCCATGAGGCGACCTCTGCACTCTAAGGTGACCCTAACATTAACTACTGGCAGAGGCTCTCAGACATTTCCCAAATGAACATCACTATGCAGCAAGGCCTCACCAAGGAAAAAGAAGAGAAAAACTTCAGAGGTGAGGGAGGCACGCTTAGCTACATTATTTACTTACTGGATTCGACTTTTGAGTGTCTGAAGTCACACAAGTGGTAACCAAGACAAACCAGGCTATAAGCACCATTTTCAAAATGTCATCAACCTAGCAGAAACATTAGACATAAATCGTGAGTTTTATTGTATTTGCAATTAAACAGATCAAATTTAATGTCCACAGAAAAGCCTTAGTAATTAGGATAAAGATTAATATAGTGAAATGTCCCTGGTTTAGCAGGCCTCCCAAGCAAAGCTGAAATAAAGAATTGAGTGTATAAACGAAGAGCATGTGAATATTAATGTGCAAAATCCTCCAAGTCCCCAGATCCCTGATGCAATTATTTTCTATTCGCATTAATTGTTCCTAACAGATGACATTAATGACTTTGAGTTAAAGTGTGGCCAAGGGAAGATTTCACAAGATCCTTGCTGTTTAGAAATAAGGCCACTTTTATAATTATTTGCTTGGATATTAGCCACTGCTCAACATAATAAGGTTAACACGGAGGTGTTTTTTAATATGAGTATCAAAAGTTAATTTGCCAACTAGCCAATAAGTATATTGAGTTATTTACATTTTCCCTGCTCTTATTACCCAACTGCTACTTTTTTTTTCCCTATTACTTATTTTCCAACACTGAGAGACTGTGAAAGTGTGCTTAATATTTATAAGGCTTGATTTGCACATGGATATATGGAGCCCTGATAAACTAGGATAAACTTTTTCAAGTTAGAGATATATCATTTCATCCAGAAATGTTAACTCTTTTGAGATTTAGCTGTCCAAGGCAAGATTTTGAAACAAAATAACAATTAACTCACCAATAGTCAATGTTTCTGCTTGTTTCTAGAAACTTCACTCACGCATCTTCGATCTTTCATCTGGGGATTTGCTCACAGAGGTGGAAAGCAGCCGAAGTCTAACACAGTCACAAACTGGTGCTGAGCTGCATGTGAGTTTCCCTGTTCCCTTCAGAACGCCTGTTTAGGTTGTTATTTTCCTTCCATCAAATATGATGTCACAAGTGAACCGTAAAGCGCGTCCTTGAGGCTTTGTCAGGCAGCTAAAAATGCCTTCCTTTCTTGTGTTCCCTGAAATTCAATATCATGTCCCCCAGCTGATAGAGTAAGCAGAAAGTGTCACTCTGGGCAAAAATATCATAAATCTTGGCTTTGTCCCCAAGATACCTTTTTGGGTATTGATTACATCTCAAAGTCCCTGAGAAATGGTCAAGGAGCTTTTTATTAAAGCCCACATCCCATATTATTCATCCCTCTTTTATGATATATTATGTATGAACTTTTAAAAATTCATGGGCTGTACTTTCCAGAGACAACGAAGCTAGTGTGGCACAGAGAGAGAGATAGAATGTTACTGTCAAAGGAGGCACTTGAGCAAAAAGATCTCATCGATCTCTGGTTTGGAAGTGTGTGAGGAGAGAGGGGTCTCTATTTCTAAGACCAAGTGGAATCTCAGTTACTGCAAGAATGTAATGGTGTAAGGTCAGTTCCAAACTACACTGAATATTCTTGCTACCTCTTAAATCTAACCCATTTTTTAAAAAAGAAACTCATGTCTAAGTCTAGGATTCACCTAGATTCACAGGTTAAAGATTTCAAGTTTGAAGTATTTCAGGCAAGGGATTTTATCCAGTTGGATACTAACAGTAAACATGAACTATAGATATGTATTTGACAGAGAATTTGCTCACTAACAAAGCAAGGTGGACTTTTTTAAGAGGCCACAGTGTTTTCCTGTGAGTTATACTCTTTCCTCTTTCTGTCCATAACTTTAAATGAATTTCCCACGTATCCATTCTACTGGCTTTTCACTGAGACCTGAATTAAGCACAGATAGAGTAACAGCACCAGTTTGAAAACTCATGTACTTGCTCTCTTTTGTGCTTTCACTCTGTCTTTGAAAATATACTTATTATAGTATTATATATTATATATGCATATGTAAGTATGAAAATATATGCTTTTCATAAAAATTCTTATAAGTATAACATCTATGGGCATGTGAGCCCATGTGGTTATTTAGGGACATTACATGAAAAGGAGATATTTACCTACCATTTTCCTGCCTGCTGCCATAACACAGAAGAAGACTGCTTTCCAAGTCAGTTTTTATGTTCCTTACATATATGGAAACTACAGCTATAAATGCTTCATCTGTACCTCAGCATTTAAGAAATTACCAACCACCAACCCCCCATTATGACAGCTAGTTGGTGTAAGGCTTTGTGAATTTGAGCACACCACCTTCTTATCCTTTGTGACTGTAGCAATACCCCTGTCTACCTGTGAGGTAGGTTAAATAGCCACTTCCATCCCTCTGTGGCAGGCAGGTAACCTGAGACACAGAAGGTAAAATTACATTCCCAAGATACGATAAAACCTATACCTTAAACAGGGTTGGAACTCAGGCCTCCCAGCTCCTCACCCTAGGACCTGTTCTCTTTGCCACCTGACCGCATCAATTTCAATGGAGGAAACTGACCATTTGAATAAAAACTGTTGAAGTATAACATCATTGGGAGAATGGGTTAATACATACACATATTCATGCAGAAAGCAAAGGATGACATCATGTATTTGATAAGGAGAGAGTGCAATCATGAGCCGAGTAAGTCAGATATCTAATCTATAAGGACTCTTCCCCCAAGTCACATGATATACCACTCAAAATCATCATTTCCTTTCTTGAGTGTCATTTCTTGTAACTCCTGGGACTCTTTGCATATTGATAAATGTATTCTTAGGTCTCGGAATGCTATTCTTTTGGCACTTGCTCAATCTTTCAAACCTGTATCTGTGGGTGCAGGGGTGGGATATAAAGACATCTTTTTTCTTTCTGAACTACAATAAGCTTCAATTGGGTACTTACTGAGCATTGCACACTCTGACAGGTCCTGGGAATTAAATGCCCCCAGAAAATTCAGATTCTAGAGGGAATTTGAGGTAAGGATTATAAAAATTGGGCAGAAACAACATCCTGGTTCTAATTATCTACTGATGTCTTAGCTCTTTTGGTGAAATTAGAATTTTCAAAATAACAGCTAACCGTTCTAGGATGTTTTGGGGAGAATGGGTTAATACATACACATGCAGAAAGCAAAGGATGATATCACATATTTGATAAGAAGTACATATAACCATAAGCCAAATAAGTCAGATATCTAATCTATAAGGACTCTTCCCTCAAGTCACATAACGTACCACTCATGTGGTATGCTTACTATTTATAAGGTTTAATTTGCACATGTATATATGGAGCCCTGATAAATTAGGATAAACGTTTTCAAGTCAGGAGATACGTCTTGAAAATGTCAACTCTTTTGGGATTTAGCTATCCGAGGCAAGATTTGAAACAACAATTAACTCACTACTAGTCAATGTTTCTGCTTGTTTTTATCTAGTGAAAGTAACTCCACAAACAGGGTGAGAGAAGCACAAGAAATGTGAAATAAGAATTTATTTGGTGTGCCACTGATAAGCGGGAGAACTAATTTTTAGCAGAAAAGAATGCCTTACCCCACCCCCGCAGAGGGGTGCAGCACAGCCCCACCTCAGCACTCATCCTTCAGACACAATGTCTGCTGAGTGACCAGCTAACCAGGTGCATAGGGCCCTCACACAAGTTCAGCCTGAGAGGAGTCAGGTGGGGAGCAGAACAAATGTGCCTCACCTCAGGGGAGTTCACAGTCCCTGCTGATGGCATGGTAGGTCTGCTGGGATGAAGTGACCCATGAGGCGACCTCTGCACTCTAAGGTGACCCTAACATTAACTACTGGCAGAGGCTCTCAGACATTTCCCAAATGAACATCACTATGCAGCAAGGCCTCACCAAGGAAAAAGAAGAGAAAAACTTCAGAGGTGAGGGAGGCACGCTTAGCTACATCATTTACTTACTGGATTCGACTTTTGAGTGTCTGAAGTCACACAAGTGGTAACCAAGACAAACCAGGCTATAAGCACCATTTTCAAAATGTCATCAACCTAGCAGAAACATTAGACATAAATCGTGAGTTTTATTGTATTTGCAATTAAACAGATCAAATTTAATGTCCACAGAAAAGCCTTAGTAATTAGGATAAAGATTAATATAGTGAAATGTCCCTGGTTTAGCAGGCCTCCCAAGCAAAGCTGAAATAAAGAATTGAGTGTATAAACGAAGAGCATGTGAATATTAATGTGCAAAATCCTCCAAGTCCCCAGATCCCTGATGCAATTATTTTCTATTCGCATTAATTGTTCCTAACAGATGACATTAATGACTTTGAGTTAAAGTGTGGCCAAGGGAAGATTTCACAAGATCCTTGCTGTTTAGAAATAAGGCCACTTTTATAATTATTTGCTTGGATATTAGCCACTGCTCAACATAATAAGGTTAACACGGAGGTGTTTTTTAATATGAGTATCAAAAGTTAATTTGCCAACTAGCCAATAAGTATATTGAGTTATTTACATTTTCCCTGCTCTTATTACCCAACTGCTACTTTTTTTTTCCCTATTACTTATTTTCCAACACTGAGAGACTGTGAAAGTGTGCTTACTATTTATAAGGCTTGATTTGCACATGGATATATGGAGCCCTGATAAACTAGGATAAACTTTTTCAAGTTAGGAGATATATCATTTCATCCAGAAATGTCAACTCTTTTGAGATTTAGCTGTCCAAGGCAAGATTTTGAAACAAAATAACAATTAACTCACCAATAGTCAATGTTTCTGCTTGTTTCTAGAAACTTCACTCACGCATCTTCGATCTTTCATCTGGGGATTTGCTCACAGAGGTGGAAAGCAGCCGAAGTCTAACACAGTCACAAACTGGTGCTGAGCTGCATGTGAGTTTCCCTGTTCCCTTCAGAACGCCTGTTTAGGTTGTTATTTTCCTTCCATCAAATATGATGTCACAAGTGAACCGTAAAGCGCGTCCTTGAGGCTTTGTCAGGCAGCTAAAAATGCCTTCCTTTCTTGTGTTCCCTGAAATTCAATATCATGTCCCCCAGCTGATAGAGTAAGCAGAAAGTGTCACTCTGGGCAAAAATATCATAAATCTTGGCTTTGTCCCCAAGATACCTTTTTGGGTATTGATTACATCTCAAAGTCCCTGAGAAATGGTCAAGGAGCTTTTTATTAAAGCCCACATCCCATATTATTCATCCCTCTTTTATGATATATTATGTATGAACTTTTAAAAATTCATGGGCTGTACTTTTTTTTTTCTTTAGCTAGGGTTAGCTTTGTGCTTACTTGGCAAAACTTTAACCAGTCTGGCTTTTAACTTTCATTGACATTAAAAGAAGTAACTTGAGAAACACAAAAGCCAAATAAATATACAATGAAAAAATGTTAGGCCTAAAACAGTGACAGATGAACATTTGTGGATGACTGGCTTTTTATTTTACTGTATAATTTTATCAGTGTAGCTAGGTTAGTCTATATCAAAGATGAAGACTGGAATTAAGTTTCAGTGGAATGCTGTCACTTTAAACATTCATGAAGACCTTTAATGGTGTCCAATCTGTAATATGGCCTTAAGGTCAGGAATTTTTTTAAGTGTGCAGTTTTTATCCAAGAAACTCTTGCCTTCATTCTTTCCCTGTATCTCTCTCCTTTGTTAAACTACAGTTGTAGATTGTGTATCACATGTCTAAGGATTTTAAAGCATATGAGTTGCTTCAGGTGGTAATCTAAAATACACAATGAGAAAAATACACTTGGAAAAGCACAGAGTCATTAAGATAATGTTGTGATAGAAGCCAATGTACATTTTCTTGGCAAAAAAGAATTTTAATAATCATCACTATCTATTGCTAATTATGACTCTTCCCAGTAGTATGCTTGGTGGTCTGTTCATGTCCAGGAGTTCTGCTTATTGTCAAGGGCCTTACCTGGTGCTAGAGCGTGATGGCTGGGACCTGACATCAGACTGTTGTACTGGTGTGGTGATCTTTGGCAAGATATTAACACCTCCATGACCCTGTTTCCCCATCTGAAAAATAGGCATAATGTTATTTCTTTTCTATCTCTGAGAGACGTGATAAGGACTAAATGAGGAAATGTAAATAACACAGTACCTCTAACAATATTGTAGATCTTTGCTGCTTTAGTACCAGCCTGTTCTTCTTAAACATGTGACACCATGCCAAAGCCACAGAAAATAATGGGAAAGATGGAGAATGATAACTGAGAAAGGTATCTACTGGCATGTCTCTCCAGAGCTCATATCAACAGTTCCCGGAAACACAGTGCACCCGCCTATGGCTATTGCTCAATACTGTTTCTATGTACAAGGCATCAGACAACATTAGTTTATCAAGAAGTAAATACAGGGTCCCCTCCCCTAGGAAGACTTTAAAATTATGATTTAGTTGAAGAGCCAGGATGCATGTATATTAAATTTTTTTTATATAATACTAGCAACACCTAGAAATTGCTAAGCGTTATTATATGCCAGGGGCTGTTCAAATTCAGTGATCTTATGTAGTAGGTGCTTTCATTCTCTCCATTTACAAAGAAAGAACCTGAGGCATGAAGGGGTTAAGTAATTTCCTCAAGGTCAAAGAGTTAGCAAGTGGAAGGTCCAGGATTTAAGCCTACAAATGGCCTCAGAGTCTAAGCACTCAGCCACTGAAGAGTTAGTCACAGCAGTAGATAATCCTACATGATAATTGTGCTGCTGAAGGAAACTGAGGGAAAAAGAAATTTGCTTTGCAGCCATGATATCAGAGATTCTGGGTCCCTTATTAAATTCAAATGTTAATTGTCAAAGGTGGGGGGAAAGTCAGGAGGAATTTCCCAGTAGGGAGGATTGGCCCCTTCTTCTTCTTTGCTAAGTATTACTCTGTGAGCATGATGACACAGACACACACACCCTCTCCCAGTGCCCTGGCCCATGGGAGGCTCAGACCATTCCTTTTGTACTGCTCCACACAGCCCTGGTCAGACTGGGAGATGACACAGCATGCCACCAGGCAGGACACAGAGGAGGTGGCCCTCCCTGCTCAGAGCTTCCTCTAGGGGCTTTCTACTCAAAGCCCAGGTCCTGGGCTAGCAGCACTGAAGCACCTGGGAACTTGTAAAAATACTCAGGTCCCACCTCGAATTATTGAATCAGAACCTGCATTTGACAAGATCCTGGCCCATTCGTGTACACATTCAAGTGTGACTTAGGACACTTCTCCTTAATTATCCCCAACCCCAACTGTCTCCACATGACAATAATGGGTCTTCCCTACCTCCCTGAACTATCCTCTGTCACATCTGGGCACTCAAGTTCAAGATCAAGGGAGAAGCTCTTCTGTAGCTCATCTTCTGAGTTCTAATTTCCTGCCATCTTACTCCCACATCTATACAGGAGATGCACACATGGGCAACGACTGGGTAAGGATGCCTCCTTGTTAAAAGAGGCCTGGGAATTGAGTTGAGTTGTAAAAATAGATATATTTTGATAGGCATAGTGGAAAGGGATAGATAGGAAAGATAGAGAGAAATGCATACAAGCTTTATTTAGTACCTTGGGAAAAGACAGAATATAAACTGTAACCAAAAGCCATGCCGAGTGTGAAAAGGGCTGTTACAGAAGTTTAGATCTGGGGGGCCTCGCAGGACACAGACACAATCTCTCTCTGGATAGTAGACATATCTGTTGTAGGAGAGGTAGTCCTAAATAAAAACCATCACCCTGCTTGCTCAAACAATAAAATACGAGAGAATAGAATGGAAAAAAAATGAAAGACACACAAGTAGGAGAGCAGCATAACGCCCTACTTCTGACGCTTGTTCAGGACACGTTCCAGATGTATGCAATGGCTGAAACTTTAGTGCCAAGTGCCCCTATGCAATAGGACCATTGGGGGTAGGCATCTGTTGAAATACAAATATGAACTCCCCTTAAGTAAGTTATAGCCAGCAATAATCAAGGCTATAAATCAGTAGATATTGCTGCAAGCTGAATTTTTAAGATAAGTTTCTCTTCTCAGTGATATTTGGAGCCAAATTTTAGAGGGGGAAATAGAGGAATAAAATTCCTTGACATTTTTAGATCACTTAAAGAGATTGTTATACAGCAAAAATGAAGTATGGCTAGCAAGACAGATGCCCGGTATTGGAAATCTAACATTACTAGGCATATGGGTATTGATTAGAGAACAAATTCCGTACACCCTCTGCACTTGCAGGGGTTAGTACGAGCCCCAAGCACTCGCAAACAGGGTGGCCTGCCTTCCTCAAGCTGCTGCTTAGTCACCATCAGTTGGAGTCACATTTAGGAACAGTGATAAGTACTCAGGTACTAGAGGCACCCATAAAGTGCCAACGAATTGCATAAGTAGGAGGCTTTGCCATTCTGTGAGTGACACAAAGACAGATGGCTTCCCTGTCAGTGAGTTTCTGGGACAAAGCTTTATATAGATAGGAGACAGGAATGAGACTGTAATGGAGACATTCCATTTCGTGATCAGGATGCTAAATTAATTTAGCCTGTCCAGTCCATGGAGCTTCATCTGTTACATTAGGGGCCTATCATGTGGTTTTCAGGATGTGCTCAAATGTTTACAGCTTTGTCACCTGTGCCTTATCAGACCCACTAGAATTTTAACCACTTGGATCTTCCACGTGGGACTCAGATCTAGGTGATGTTAAGAGTCTTTATCATTTGGACAGCCAATTGATATGAAAAGTCCTATAACCTTTACAACAGAACCTCATGAATCCTGAGTTTGGTGTCCCACTGCATCTGGCTTCCTGGGCATTTGATTCCTGACTTAGCATGATGCTGTCAGAGCCATGGGGAACCAGCCATAGGAGTGATCTGGTAGAACTGCCCCACCCTACACATGACATTAAGGTCCATGGAAGTTAAGTGCTTTCTTTGCTGGGTATCTCATATCTAGTGGCAGTATGCAGCCTGAGATCCAGTCGTTAGACTCCCAATCTACTGCTCATACTCTTGAACCCCACAACCAAAGATGCTACTCTTGTCCTCTTCCTTTCGTAGCATTAGAGTCATGTTTTGATACTGGTCTGAGTGTTTAAACAGTACTACTGGATAAAATGGGAAGCTCTCACTGTGATACTTCTGCCTGATGATGATGATAGCTCATAATAATCAAGCACCTACCGAGGCCAGATACTGGGGAATGTGCTTCTTGTCCAGAACCTCGTTTGGGCCTTGCAGTAACCCTGTAAGGTATAGGCAGTATTATCATTGTTCATTTTTGAAAAGGGAAATGTAGCTCTGAGGGATTCATTTCTCCTAGCATGTTTATGAGAGGCAGAGCCAAGATTTGAACCCCCTAGTCTGTCTTACCCCAAAGTCTGTGCTTCTGACTATTCTGCTATATTCCCTCCTACATCACCATGCTGTTGAGTTGGTACTTGCTCTTTCCCAAGCAAAGTCCTTGCTCAGAGCTGTCCTGCCGTTTTAGGAATGCCAGCCGAATGCAAAATCAGGAACCCCTGCTCTGAAATGCCCCAGCTTAGGGCTTGTCATCCCTGGCACTCTCTGTCCCCGAACGAGCTGCAGCAGCAGTGAGCTGTCTCTGTCAAGCACCTGCAGTGAGCACTCCAGCGGCTCTTCCTGCACATGGCATGATGGGAAGAACCTCAGGAAAAGGGTAAGGCCACCTTTCAGGGCATCAGCATCAGTGTGAACCAGAAAGAGGGGATCCTGTCCTGATCGGAAGGTGGATGGTGGGAGGGAGGGCTAAGAAGGAAATGACCATCTGCTGAATACCTGTTCCCTCATTCCTTATGCAAGTCTGCAGGGAGATACTACCCTCCCCATCACAGAGATGAGGAAGCTGGCTCCAAAAGGTTGTTACTTCCCAGAAATCATGTAGCAAGTGAGGAGCGGACTGATGACTTGACCGCAAATATCCTGGGAAGGAGCTTGAGAGAGGAACACACTTCCCTTCAGAGCTTTGGTGGAGCCCACTGAGTTCACAGATTTATATCAGGTTGGAACCTGGAGCTCTGTCCTGGTGTACCTGACCACACTCAGACCAACTCAGACGTTTCCAGTTAGTTTCATGGACCTTCTCTTCACTGGGGTGCCCAGGGAGACAGTGATACCCACTGTGAATGAGCCTGAGCAAGGCCTCTTGCCAAGCCATTCCAGACTTAGCATCCCATGAGAATACGAGGAGAATTTTTTTTTCCTAAGAACAGAGAGCGTGCACAGAATAAATGTTTTGGAAGTGTCATTCATTTTGTAGGAATTCATCACTCAAAAATAACAGGTAGTTTTTTGGCCTCCTCTCTTCAATTCTATAGTCTCATAAACTACTAAGTAACTATACATTGGAGGGCAAAATTGATAGAGAAAATACTGTGGTAGATGAGAGAGACCATGGCTTCAGTTAAGGCAGGTATGTCCCTCCTTAGATGCCTGGAGTTCCTCTCCTGGATTTTGTGAAAAAGAACTCCCACTGCTAGAATGATTCACATCTGCAAAGTGGACTCACACAACTGAAGATTCCTTCATGCTTTGAACAAGCATCTTTGCACATTAGTGTAAGTCAAGTGTTTGGAATAGCTGGTTTTATAATTTCCAAATGTTGAGGAAAAGCAAAGAGTATATGAGAATGGAAACCCCAAATCAGATTATTTAGAGACCATTTTTCTATCATTCATATAAATTTAACTTATGATTTTGGAAACACAGAAACTAGAAAATTCTATAACTGCCAAAAAATATTGGTGAGGGAGCAGCTTTGTCATACTCTGAACAAAAACTCAGAAAAAGATTTAAAGCTTGAATTTAGAGCTTATTCCCTTGGGCTCAGACTTCTACTGCAAAGTGTGGACCCTGGTACATTATCAAAATTGTTCCTTCTAAGCACATATTCAGAGTTCTAAATCATGACTGCTAGGGGCCTGGCTCAGACAGACTGGGAAGATGGTCAGCGATGTTCCCTCTGTGTGACTATCACTGGCTCCCAGAACGTCTTGCCTAGCAATTTTCAGTCTCAGACCTCTTTTCTCTTTCCCTCACAGACCCCCTTCTCACCCTTTCTATTTTCTTTTTTAGGTGGGAGGACAGCTAAAATTCTTTCCATTAGAACAATCCTTGATCTTCTAGAGAAATTTGTCCCTGAAAGAGGAGAAATAAGAGTCTTGAATGCACCATACACATTCAGGTGGCCATCATCTGGAGATTCAGTATAGTCTGTCTCAGCATGAGACATGCTGAGAAAATGAGCACGCCTGTCATATCTCACAGAGACAGGCCCAGTTCTCAAGGACCCGGTGAAGTAGGCCCAGTCCCATAAAGACATTTTAAATCTTTATTATTTAAGGAACTTCTATAGTTCATACCATGTATCAGGTACTCATTTAGTATTAACTTACATAATAAACTCATATAATACAAATTCAAATGTGCATATAATATTAACATTTTATATTTATATATATATACATACACATTGTATATTACAGTACTAGCTTACATTACATATATGTATTTATATATGCATACATATTTACAGACATACCTATATACACGACCAATGGCTCTTTGATGGCTCACAAGTCTTTTTTAATCTTGTTTTGTGTAGAAAGAGAAAGGAAGCCTGTATGAAATGTGGTATCCTGCCCTACATGGGTGATCACTATGCACCACACACCTTTGTGAGCACTTCACAAGTATTACCTAATTTCATGCTCATGATAGTCTATTTAAATAGGTTCACCTATTCCCCACATTTAACAGGTGAGGAAACTGAGGTTCTGAGACACGAAGTAACTAGCCCGAGATCTCATAGCTAGTCAGTGTCAGAGCTGGGCAGTTGGTTCTAGAAACTTAATTCTTATCCATTCTGCTATGTTGTCCTTGTTGAATCAACCTAAGACTTGGAGAATTGTTCCAATTTTGGGGATGGATTTGTTCCCATTAAGAACAATAATGCCCTTTAAAAAAACTGTGTAAAACTGTTATCCACTCAAGACACAGAAAAGGAGTGTGAACATGAAACCTATGCTCCTACCTTACTAGCATCATCTTTCAACCAGCTCCATTGCTCCCCAGGACAACTCTCTTCCCAGGAAAGAATAAAGCTGCCTATGGAAATGCCAGCACCTTTCCTCCTAGAGGGGATTCGTGCTTTTTTTTTTTTCAAGTTTAAAGAATTTTCCAAACTTTTCTCAAGTTATTAAATACCATAGCCTCCTGTGAAAACTGATAGAAGAATGTGGCTAATCTCACAGGGCATAGAGCTTGTGCCTAGTTGGTTTGTAGCCACCAGCCCTGGGAGGTATCAAACTGTGGCATAGGCAGGCTCTGGAGAAGCAAGGGGATGTGGGTGGGCAGAGGCTGAGCACATCTTCTATAGATTTAACAAATCTGCCTTTTTCAAGCTCTTGCAGGATACTTTTGCCTGGCTTCCTTTCTTCACTGTAAACATGACTATCAGGATTGTGGAAATACCTAGAAACCCAAGCTGTGGGAGCCTGCTTTCAGTCTATAATACCAAGACATACTATGGGATTTCTTCTGATTTCCAAAGTTTTTTTAAAGGTGCAGGGGAAAAGGCTGGTTAAGGGCCATCACCAAACAGCATCTATCCCCAGCAACTTCTGGTCCTGGAGAATTTTCTAAAGAAAATATGTAATTTGACTTAAAAAATATAAGCATATAACAAATATAAACAATATATGTTGTTGCTAGCAAGAGGAATTTTTATGAAAATGTCTTCGATGTAAAGCAAATGTTCACAACTTACTAAGGACCAAGATTCCATTGGAGGTTTCTGACACTTTTACAACCTTTGCATATGAGCATATGGTTAGTGTTCAGAGTTATGGGATGGGGGTCCTGCTGGTGTGGAGATGCACACGGGGGCTATACTCTAAGCCAAGATTGGCACTGAGACACATCTGAAACCACCAGATTCGCTCTGATATTCTTTACCATTAATCATATTTTTTATAAGTCGTGAGGTCAGCCCTCAAATACCACCAATATCCCTGAGAGCTGGTTTGTGATTGAACTCTGCAATTTCCATTTAAGAGTGGAGTGTGGGGATAACCTATGATCTTTGTGATGACACTGACTAGTGCAGCGGGGGAAGAGAGGCTAAGCTTGACTCTAGCAAGTCAACTATAGCAAGTATAGCATTATGATTAGGCATGCAGGCTATAGAGGCAGACTGCCCAGGTTCAAATTCCTACACCACCACTCTGGAACTAAGTCATAGAAAGAGTCCAAGAAACCAGAGTTCAAAGCTTTGCTCCAGCTTTTTCTTCACTGTGTACTCTGCTGACTCATGCTGAAGTTTCCTCCCTAGAACAGTAGGACTGATAAATTCTCCCTCCTGGTGTTGTGGAAATTAAATCAAAGCACTGTGAAAGCGGCTGGTACACAACAGATGCTCAATAATGTTAACTCTTCCCCTCTGCCCTTCCATTTCTGGTTAACAATACTATGAAAAATATGGATGTCTGTGCAGAATGCAGTGTTTTTTTCTGTCATTTCTGGGTCACTTCTCCAAGGCTAGTGCTTGGGGAGGTTGAAGGATAGGAAATCAACCTTTCTTTGTTAGTAGGCGAATGATTTATGTGGGGTTGTAACAGCAAATACCCAGATGCTATATGTATAGATGCATTCCTCAGATGTTCACTGCCTGTTAAGTAAAGTCATGAAGTCACAGAACTATCAAATGTTAGAATGGAAGGAACCACAAAGACATGGAATGAATTCCCTTCCCAGTTATCCCCTTCACCTTACGTACACACAGCACAATGAGGCCCTGTTGTCTTCGGATTGTTCCCTAAGTGTACCTTGAGCATATCTTCCCAATTTAGCTCTTTGCCATCCCATTTCTTGGAAATCAGCTTCCCCATATTTAAGGCAGGCCTATCCTTCACTCAAGGGCTTTTCCAAACAGAGAGAGGTGTAGTCTCCTTCTGGACTTCTCCAGAACCTACTACATTTGCCCTTTGCATTTGCTCTCTTGACTTACGGTTATTTGTGCCAAATCTCCCCTTCCCTGCTGGGCTGCATACTCCTTGAGGGCAGGGTCCTATCTTCTACTAATTTATGTCACATGCTACTTAGCTCAGGCCCTGACAAAGTAGAGATTTGCTGCATCATTAATGAAACAATTCACACTAATTAATATATGCATTTATATGTAAATCCTTAACCACTAGAACAAAGTAAATTCAGTGATGGGCTTTTCCTTGTATATATTTGTGACCCACATGGTTCAGTCATTTCTGATTCTACTTTTCTTTCCTAGCAATCATCACAAAACTGGGATAAGAGGCTAAGTATTGACTCTTCGCTCCCAAGTGGCTTTGCTAGTCCTACAGATGAACCACCTCCATCTCGTGTCAAGGAAAGCCACATTTTGGAAGGACTAAGAAAGCTCCAGAAGCAAAAAGTGTTACTGGAACCCCCATCAGTGATAACCAAATGGGGTTATAAAGATTGCATGAACTCAAACGAAGGAATATATTCTCCAGGAATTAAGAGTAGCAGTATCAAGGAGCATGCCCCCCACAGATCCCCTGAGACCTATCACGAGGGGCCCCGCAAGGCACTTGTGTGTGGCACAGATTCCCACGGTGTCGAGGAGGACTCTTCCTCCCTAGCATTCCTCCAAGTGGTTCCAAACCAGGGCTGCAGGCTGCACAGTTGTAAATTAACCCACAGTGTTTCTGACAGTCTGTTTGGCTGGAATCTCAGTGGAAAACATTTTCCCGAAGGCACATCTTCAGTTTATCCCAGGGAGAGGCCTGAAAAGCTGACCCGTTGTGCCAGCACCTGTCCCATGGGGAGAAAGCTGTGCCCAAGTGTGCACATGCCTGAGGCGCAGAGAGAGAGGGATCCATGCGGCCAGGACCACCCGGCTCTTGGCCTGCAGCTTTCCGATACCGAGGACGACACCCTCGATGAGCTGCACATTGACAGCAGTGATGGGAAAAGCCCTTCAGATTTGTCCCTGACCGCTGACACCGACAAATCTGTGGAGAATCTGGATCACCTCACAAGATCTGGAAAATCTGACAAGGAGGGAAAACAAGTGCCCATCCACATAGAGAGCAGGCCAAAGACGTTCAGTTTCATTAAGCAGCAAAGAGTTGTAAAAAGGACTTCTTCAGAAGAATGTATTACTGTAATATTTGATGCAGAGGATGGCGAGCCCATTGAGTTCAGCTCTCACCAGTCAGGTGTTCTCACTGTTACCAGAGACGACATTTCCATCAGTCAGGCCCCTGATGGACCCAAGGCAGAACACACTGAGCTTTCACCTCAGGGAATTCCTCACTTACAGCCAGGAGCTGCTGCAAGAAACTATGCTTTCTTAAAAACACCTGAAGAGAAAACTGAGAACATTCCAAGAGACAATGTAGGTAACGCGGTTGCAGCATCCACTGCATTTTTCAGCCCCAGGACATTAACGCAAAATACTCAGCGGCAAAGGTTGGCCAGACCAACACACAGTATGTCATGCCAGAGTGACTGTAGGTCTTCAGTGTCCATGGGTATATATCCGAAGCAAAGCCTGACAAAAATACCTGCCAGGGGCAAGTCTCCACCTCAGAAATCAAAACTAATGGAGGCTGAAACTGCCACAAGAGTTCCTTCCTCTGGCCCAGTGACTCTTGAAAAATCACCCACCCTAGCTCCCAGTAAACTCTTACAATCCAAGAAGACTGAGGGCCTGGAACCCCTTGCTGATTTACGGCCAGATTCACACATTCCAAAACACCCCACCCAACCTCCTCACAGCTCCAAAATGTCCAGCAGAAGGGACTGGGCACAGTGCTCCAAGAGTCCAGGTCCTGTACCACAGCCACTGTCGAGGCCCTTACCTGAGCCTGGTGACAATGGAGAGCCCCCCACCAGGGATAAACACTGTGATGCTGGGCCAGAGGCCGGGCTGGAGGCGCCTTCCTGCCCACCCCATCCTGGCAGGTCAGTCTCCCTACTCAGGCCCAGTTATGACTGTTTGCTACCATCTGCCAAGCCTCAAGCCAGGGTCCCCAGCGAAACAGCAAGGACTGTATTCAAAGCCCCGCCTCTGAAAGGATCCTCTGTTCCTATCATTTCTTCTAATCTGACCATGACGGAAGTGCCAGGGAAGAAACCGTCAATGGCCTTCAAAAAGCCTATCTTCACTCACCCTCTGCCTTCCACAGAAACAGGGATTCAAACCAGATGTTCTGCCCACACGCCCTCCAGATCATTCGCCATGATGGCCCCGGGGCCCCCAAAGGTCTCTCCAAAGAGAGGTGTCGCCAAAACCCCACCTCACCAAACACTTGGGGCTGCACACACGGACCCAGAGTTACGGACTCCCAAGAGCTGTCCTGCAGCCCAGGAGCCCCCAGAAACATTGTCCTCCGGAAGTGTAGACCCAGGGAGACAAGGACAACAGAAGGACAGCGTCTCCACATCACCTAGGCCTTCCGTGTTAGGGGTCAGTGAGTCACCGCCAGCTCAGGGAAGCAGTCCCTCTTCATCACCAGCCTCCAGAGGCCGCCACAGCCCACATGGTTTTCTGCATGCTCATGAGAAAGGCCTGACAGCTCGCCTCCCGGCTGGGCTCAAAGTTCTCACAAAGTCTCCCCAGTTGCTCAGGAAAAGTTCCACGGTGCCAGGGAAACATGAAAAAGACAGTCTAAATGAAGCCTCTAAAAGCTCTGTGGCTGTACGCAAGTGTCCACCCGAGGACTCTGGGGCTACAGCAAGCCCTGGGGCCACAGTAGGTGAAAGCAGTGGGACTCCACGGGGGCTGCAAGCACAAGACAGTTTGGCTGAAAGCCTTCTACTGGAAGCTGCCGTCCCAGAGGCACTGGAAAATGGGGCTGCTGCTGGAAAAGATGGGCTAGAAAACAGGTCTGTGAAAAGATCCCTTTCCTCCAACAAGCCACACCCCAAACCAGCTCTAGGCATGAACGGAGCCAAAGCCCGCAGCCAGAGTTTCAGCGCTCGCTCAGGAGACAAGCCCCCAACTCCGCCCATGGAAGGGCCCGGCAAAGTCCGAACTCAGATTATCACCACCACTGCTGAGAGGGGCAGTTCCCTCACCCGGCAGAGCTCTTCCACGGAAGGCTCTCCGCACAAGACCTCTGCTGCCCCCATGCCTGACAGTCCGCCCAGTGCCGGGAGGCCCCTGGGGCATCCCTCCTCCAGGCAAAGCCCCCTGGGGAGCACGGGGAGCCCTGGCAGCCAGCACCGGAGCCCACGCAAGTTGCCTTGGAGGATCCCTCGGAGATCCGCAGGGCCCCTCGCCCCTGCTGGAATGGAAGACCAGCAGGCCTGCCCTCAGGGAGGAGGCCCCCGTGTGGCTGTCCCTGAGGAGTCAGGCAACGACCACTGCAGATGCCCACCCACCCCAGCAGACTGCCCACGAGTCCTACAAAGTCCAGGGAGGACACAGTGTGCAACCAACACTGAAACAAGCAGGACTCCCAAGCTAGAAACTTCTGGAAGATATCCAGATAATTCCACAAGCAGGACTGGTGCTGTGAGCCCAGAAGCCCCCATCTCACCCACAATTGAAGAAAAGGTCATGTTGTGCATTCAGGAAAATGTGGAAAAGGGCCAAGTGCAAACGAAGTCCACGTCTGTGGAGGCAAAGCCAAAGCCCGGGCCTTCCTTTGCCAGCTGGTTTGGTTTTAGACGGAGCAGACTTCCAGCTCTCAGTAGCAGGAAAATGGATGTCTCCAAAATGGAAAGGAAAGATGCAAAAGGTTTGGGGTTTGGAAACAAACAGCTAAAATCAGAGAGAAAAAAAGAGAGAAAGAATCCCGAACTACAGTTTGAGATAGAAAATGGGCTTAACAGGGACTCCGAGGTGGCAGATAGCCCAGACGGTGGTTTGCCAAGCAAAAATTATCTGAAAACGCCACTGGACATTTACCACCAAATGACATTTGAACAGCGAAGCAGACCCAGCCCTGTTACGGGTTCAACAAAAGATACCTTTTTGACAGAACTTTTGAACAGGTAAAACATTGGCAAAGTGGGTGGCAGTGTTGAGAGGTGCCCCCCCACTGCCTGTCCACAAGAAGACTTGTTTGCTTCCTGCATATTAAATTCCAGTCAAGCATGGTTTTCATACAAGCAGAAATTCATAGTAGCAGATTTTTATACATTAGCCAGAATTTAAACAATGAAATAAAAGTTAGCAATAAAATGATAATTTAGACCATGTTACTTTGTTAAACAAACCAATGGTCTTTGAAATTAAAGAATGGTAAATTTTATCAAGGTTGATAGAAATTCCACCTACACAGGGAACCATGAATGTACCCACATGGCATGAAATGGAAGAAAATTACACATACGTTTCAAATTATGCTGGTCCCATTGATTGTACCAAGCAAACATATACTTATAAACTTTCCAGAGGTAATTACATTTCCTGCTGATCTTAAGCCAGAACTGTATTTAGCAATCACTCTTCGGTGGTTTTTATTTTGCACCCACCTGCCCCCATCTCTCAAGTGTTCATAAAATTAAAAGAAATTATTACATTATCAAATCTAAATTGACACACTACTGGACTATAAGAGGAAGATTTGATAGAGGCCAGTTGAGAAACACTTATCACTCAAAGATTTAAAGACAAAAGGATACAGGAAGGTTACTTTAAACATTAAAGGATTGGGGAAAATAGAGCAATTGGGGAAGAACAATGTAATTTATCAGAGGAATCACTTTCTACCTACAGAGTTGATAAGAAAGCAGCTCACCAGACAGAAAATGGATCAAATAGTGTTGCCTGCAGGAGTGTGTTAAAGGGCAGCTCCCAGGGCTCGGGTCTCACCTGCAGCTCTACCAGCCCTCAAGGAAACCACAAGAAAAACATCAAAACTAAAGCTGATCTGGAAACACCAAAAGGCTCACTGGTAAGTGCTCCACCATCTGGTTAGAAGGTGTTAGGCTTTGAGACTGGCTGGCAGGGTTCTTTCTACCTTTGTTGATGAAAATATGTGAGCCCGAGATTGGGGGGCAAGGGGGTGCACTGAGAAAGTTAGAGAAAAGTGAGAAATTCTGGTGACCACTTTAGTAGAGAGAGAGAGGGCAGCTGCATTGTGAATGGGCGTGGCTCCCTCCAGGGCGGTTGGTTTTTTAGCCCTCTTTTTCAGGAGGAACCTGTAATCACAGTGCAGGCAAGTGATGCACAAATGACACTGTTGGTATCATCTTCAAATTACACTCTTGTGCTGGAAATTTGTTTTGATGATTGTTTCCATCATTTCCAGCAACACGAAAAGGAATGAACATGATTATAGAAAATATTAAGTACTAAACAATTTAAGAGAATATTGGCTATTTTGATGATTTGATATAAGCATTTTTCATTTTCACTGCAAGCTGTAAGTACCAGTTCATCCTCTCAAGACAGAAGGTGTTAAGACTAAGAAATCCTTTTGGGAACTTGATGTATTATCATTTTAGTCTTTTAATTATGAAGTCCAGAACTCAGGGGGTACTTTCCTTTAAAAAAATTAATAAAAGGGCATTTTTATATTTCTCCTGGGTATGCTGGTTTTGAGTAATATTTCTGTTTTAAAATCACCTGAAATTGCACTTAGTCTCCTTACATCTTTCCTGTTCATGCATAATTGATTTGGTGATGTTCATTGTTCTTCCATGGAAGTTTTAAAGCACTTACTGTATAGTACCTACTACTGTTTCCTCAGGAAAAACCTGAGGAGATTTGAAAGATGTTCGTGATTGGCATTATCAGTTATTAATTATTAGTTTAACTACTTTTTGATGTTTAGGGTTCCTTAGAGTTTCATAGGCATACTTTGAGACAATGCACATTGTTTTTTTGAAATAGCTCTTGAATCTGAAAAGCCATAAGGTATTTTTTTTAACTCTCTGAACTCTTACGCAGACTATGTTCTTTGCAAAAGTTTTCTTCTCCTTTTTCCCCCATATTTGCCCTTGGCTTCCATGGTATCCTCCCTTCTTTGTAAACACAGATGTCCCTGTTTTATAAAAACCACAAATTACAAGCATATCTAAGGCTGCCCTTGTATTGTCACTGAAAGGAAGGAGAGAAAATGAACGTGTGGAAATGTGCAATATGCCGGAAATTCAATCCACCTGATCTAAAACTTTGATATCCCAGCAGAGCCCCTTATCAGAGGCACTCAATTTAGCTATGCCCCATTTAATGTGGTTCTGACAGCTTAGGATATATCTTCACTGTAAGGAAGTACCAAAAACAAAAAACAAAGAGACCCTCTGTTTGGCTTTTGTAGTTTCATTCTTACTTCCTTACTACTTCCTGATGCTACAGGAACTGGCCCTGCTTTTCCTCTATTGTCTGCAGCCCTTCACAGTGCAGTCAAAAGTATTCTTTGGCCCTTCCAGAATATCTGCAAGAAATGCTCTTTATTATTTTCTGTGAAGTACAAAGGTTCCCTTACCATCCCAAATATACATAATCAATAGGGATATACTGATTTTTCTATTAGCTGCAAGAGCTAATTAGTCATACTGGGAAGCTTTTCCATATGGAGGAGTATTATTAACCTGGATAGTTGACCAGGGAGTCATTTTTTTTTTTCAGTGTAAAATGCAGTATTTTTTGTTTCATCTCCATAATCATCAACATGGATTGGGATAAAATTAGTAATTTCAGAAAAGGCATTGCCATAGACTCCTTTGGGACTAGTACAAGAATAGCAGTGAAAACTTATTTATTATATGTTATCAGCCTATATAAGAAGGAAATTAGATGAAAAATAAAATATATTCTAATACCATAGCACATTGATGTGAATACCCATGAACCTTTTAAATTAAGGGATTTTTTCCATACAAGAGTTTAAGGCAAATTTTCTATCTTCTTATTTTAAAGTATATTGCAACAAATTATTCTTATAGTAGCTGTTTTGGATATAAATAATAGCTGCACATTATGCATTACACATCACACTTTTTTGTGAATGAAATCAATGTTCAAAATCTTAAACCTCCACCCTTGCCCTTTACATACTAAGGCTATATTTAGTTATGAGTGTTCTAAGATATTTTAATTATTTTAATCTATGATGATAATAATAGATTATTTTTGTACCTTATAAAAAATCCATTCATGGTAGCAGACTTCCACGTAGGTTCACTAGCAACTTCATCTCCATTTCCAGGGTTGCTAGACACATTCTAAAATATGTGTAAAAGTCCCATTAATTCTTTGCTGAATTAAAATATTTTACTCTTTTCAGAGCCTTAATTAGAGGTTTATATCCCCATTTATGGGATCATTTACAGACCACTTAGCTCTAATTTTTGTGTAATTTAGACAGGGATCTGTTACTTTGTACTTTTATTTAAATTATATAAAATCATCATAAGAGGGGAAAAGGCATCCCTGGGAAATATTGCATCAATATTAGGTAAATAAGTCAGAAAAAAATGCACTCTACTTCCCACATGTTATAGGTCCTTCCTTCCTATGGCTTTAAATAATTTTTCTGAAATGAGAAGTCTCAGAAGAAGACAGCTCCAGGCTTCAATTTAACTATCACTGGACAAAATAAAAATTGTTAACGAAATTAACAAGTACCATATACCTTCTTTATACACTGGAAAGGGAGGCCATACTAATATGGGTATTTTAATTTAAATTATGAGTATTCTCTTTACCCAGTGTCTTCACCACAGTCTGAAGAAAGATCACATATGCTAATAAAAAAGCATCAAAGGCTATTCCACTAAAATGGTGTGGGTGATGAAGAAGTACAAAATAGTACAATAATTACACAAACTGTTATAATCGTATTAAGTTCTGGAAAATGTTGTAATTTCAACATCCTTAATTGAACTGTTCTGTTCTAAATGCCATTTTGATTCTAATGAAAAGCTTGCATATTTTGTCCTCCTGCAAAGTTTTTTAAATGACTAACTTTTCTAGAGGTAATGCTTTCTGGGGTTTTTCTTCCAAAGATCACTTCCTGTCTTGCTTACGTTCATTGTGTTCCTTTTCAATGAACTGTGACATCAAATGCTCTTTTCTTTGGAAGCAATTCATGTTAAGATGATTCAGAGAAGAAATATATGCAGAATTCTAAATGAAGGATGCCCCCAAATATTGGGCTTAAGTCTGAAATTATGTGTATGTACTTGTCAGTGGTAAATTATTTTCTCCCTTTTCTTCCTGTGTCCTTTGTAAGCTCACTTTTCCCTTCCTTTTCTAATGGTAAGGGTTAATAGAATGTAATGGGTACTATGACATTTAATGGGTACCTGTAATAGACTGGCATTTGGTAGCACTCTTGACTACCATTGCAGATCCCAAAAGATGCATAGGAGTTGGAGGTGCACCATTGGATGGTGTCTGAAGTGCCAACAGTAAACTTTAACCAAAACTAGCCCATATCACTGCCAGGGAGTCACCTGCTACTTCTTACCAAATGGGACGTTACTGACAAAGATCCATAGCTGCTCCTGATAGAGCAACGGCTGAGAAAATTCTCAGTCTCTAACCACCATCCTTTTCTGGGCCAAACTTCTTTGTCCTATGACCACCCCTATCTTTGAAATGCTTCGCCACATGAAGGCTGTCCCTGGTGTGCCTAGCCTGTACCCCCAGGAAGGTTCCATTCCCACATCTTCTCACCAGTACCCAGCCATTGCGTGATGAGGGTGAAAATTAATTTTAATTTCAGCCTATGAAAAACATAATTAGCTAGGGGAATCTGCTGCCAGAATAAATGATGCCCCTCATTTCCATAGGCAAATGGAGTTTTTTAATTACTCACCACTTTGCATTGAAATCTATTTGTATGGGTAATTAGAGCTGCCAGCGTGCCCTTCTATGGCACTCCCCTATTTTCCATTCCTTTGCTGATTCTTCATCCATCCCTTCAAATTCAAAATCTCCTCTCATGGGTCATCTGCCTCTCATGGGTCCAGGAGAGTCCCGGAGAGCTGAAAGAACTAGGGGCCTTGTCTGCAAGCCCAGTGCCTCTGATGAATCCCCAGAGGCCATGTGTAGCATTTGCTGTTAAGCACAGAAAGCCCTAGAAAAGTTCTGACAAGGAGCTGACAACCTACACAATGGCATTTTCTTTCTTAAAGATGATACTTGGAGAAAGGTAGTGGTCAAGTTCCATAGATGGCATAGGGAACAGAAGCAGAGAAGATACATATATACACATACACACAAAAATTTTGCTGCTGTTAATTAAAGACATATGTCCTGTATACTTAGAATACTGCCTGCATATCTAACTGCCAAACACCAACAAAGGTACAGTAGTTCTTGAGACAGTCTGGAAAGGAAAGGATGGTTGTAGCAATATGGCACACTCTGAAAAACTGAATTACTGCAATAAATAGGGGTCAGGAGTGCCCACTCTAAACATGAAATCTTTTGTGACCTTGAATAGATCACTAACCCTCTCTGAGTCTTTTTTCCTTTATCTGTAAGATGAGAAGCTTGTTCTAAGTTATTGGATTCTTTGTTTAGAATCTCTTAGGCTGATAGAGATGATGATTCACCCACATTCCAGCAGGTTAGCAGAGCATCCCCTTAAGTTTAAAAATTTACAGAAACTTAAAGGAAATGCTGTTCCACATAACAGGCACAGGGAGCAAAGGGGGAGTTTGAACATGTCAAAAGAACTGATATGGGCTGAAAATATAAATTGATTTCCTTGATGTTTCTGTCGATGAGGATAGAAGGTCCTTGTTCGGTTGTCAATAGAAAGTCAGGTGCTTGAGGATGCCTTCCTCAGGGGGTCTTCTGGTTGTCTTGTCGCAAACAGGTTACTGAGCCGGGTGAACCTTATGAAGAAAACAAGTAACACATGAGCCTTGCTGATGCCCATGGCGCTTTTCCTCCCTTCCGTCTGTAAATGTGCACTACTAGGAGATCTTGTTGAGAAGCCTTTCTCCCCCATTCCATCACTTTCTTCCTTGGGAAGCACTAACAAACAGGGAAGCAACTGCAGAACTGGTGGGGAAGGAAAGTGAGGAAGCCTGGCCTCTGGATATTCAAGTTTAACAATCTCAAGCTATCCACATAACCTCTTGAGTGTGCCACCTTCGGGCTATCAGCATGGACAGATTAAGCAGCAATTACTTTCAAATGTTGGAATTGCACTCAAAATGTAAATAACTGGTCTTCTATTAAATATGAAAAACAAGAGGTAAAAACTAGAAAGCTAAATCTAGCTCAAGGCCACTATGCAACCATATGACTTACACTGTGAGTATAAACCAAAGGTTTCTTGGCATTCAGCTGGAGTCACTGGGCAAACCCACCAACAGCCCCTAATGTATTATGTGCTAATAAGCAGAATGCCATGACATTCATTGCACAGTTCACATCATTATCAGTGGCTGCCCAGGTGACTGGCTGGGACGTACTTTAAAAGAGCTATTTAGGGTCTTTCTGCCAGAGGCCACAATCTGCCTTGATATGGAAGGTGAGTCTACACTGGCATAGTCAAATGGAAATTTGACAACAAAATTCCCTCAAATGAACACAGATCAGAAAGCCAGATTTGCTGTGTTTGAATCCTGGTTCCACCTCTTGGGCAGTTGCTTGTCTGTTTCTTCAGGGGCCATCTCTAGAAGCAGGCTAACTGTAGCACCTGCCTCCAGGAGATTGGTGTGAGCACCATGAGTTCCTAGGTGTGATGAGTTTAAGCAACGGCCACTCCCTAACATTTCAGAGTTTGTTCTTTTAAATTGTTATCATTGACATCACTGATGATACTGTTACTATTGCTGCTACTAGACTGGGAAGGGGGGGATGGGCTTAGCTCTCCTGTTGCCACTTACAGTATGTTTAAGGAAACTTGCTAGATCTTAGAATTCTCATTCGTAAAATACTGTGACTTTATTTGAGTCTCTCTATGGGTGCTACACTGTTCAGCATTTGGATGCTTCAAGCTAAAATATAAGGGGAATGTTTTTGACATGAAAAATCTATATAAATATACCACTGTTCTAGTTCCTGAAATACACATCATAGTCACCTCATGCTTCATATCAAAAGAACAACAATAAAAGATACCATTTACTTAGAGAGTTACATTCTTGGAAAGGGTCAGGAGATCTAAGTGTATTTCTTTATATCAAAATAACTTGTGGTAGAAGTCACTGTCTCTGGAGCAATTCTATTTCCTTAGACTTTAATTCTTCCTAATAGCTCTGTATTACTGATTTTATTAAGTATTAAAAACCAAAGCTGTGATCTCCAAAATTATGCAGAATTAGGTACCCTGTAAATCCTCACTTTCAAAGCTTGAGTTATATTTCTGAAAAATATGCTCTTGTAAATAAACTTGTAATGAAGTGAGGAAAAGTAGAATGAAGAAAATATATATGTATATGTATACATACACACACCACATGTCGGTTACAGAATGTACCATTATTGAGTATTGCAAACAATCTATTTAGCATAGTAAATAACTTATAGTGTTTTCTTATTGCTACAGATAAAAGAAGCTAATGAAAACCTGCAAGATGATGAAGAAGATACAGTTGCAGATTCCACATTTCAGAGCCACATCATAGGTAAAAATTCATGTCTTGATACATGTTTAACTGATATATTTTCTAAATAGGACCTTCTTTCAGATACTGTGTGTCCCTGAAGAGCATTTCTTATGGTCTCCTCTGTCAGGACTGGGTTTTAACCTCTCATACATGGTTAACTTTATTTTCTTAGACATTGGAAGCTACCACATAGTAAGTGAGTCAAAGCAGAACCTAGGAAGAAAACATAGGTGTTTGCAAAGGAATGCCAGGCAGATTGATGAGAAGTAAGTACTTGTCAATATAAAATGAACATAATACTAAGTGTAAATAATTTATCTCTGAGGAGAAGGTCAACTTTGAATGGATCCAGGTTCTATCATTCTCTCAGGAAGCACTTTGTGCAACCACTGTTGGTGAGAAATGTTGGGGAATGGCTTTCTTAAATTGAGTGTTTTTTTTAATTGAATATGTTTTACACAAAGAACGAAGTAGATTAGGTAGATATAGCGTGCAAAAATCTTGAACTCATTTTCTTCATCAGTTCTGTCAGAACCCTGATTATAGAGAGAGAGTCCTGTCTCTGAAATAAGTGGCTTGTCAGCTATTTCTTAAAACTGTTCAGAAGCCTAGATTGAAGGAACTCAGGTTCCTAGCACAAAGGGACTTTGCTGACCTGTTTCCAGCAGCTGGGAGGCAGCTGGTGGTGCAGTAGCTAGCTGTCTGTGACTGTGATCCTTGTCAGGAGATAGAAAAGGTGATAACTTTAAGAGCTCTGGGCCCCCTTGCACACTTGCATTATTAGATGTTCCCCGGGCTGTAAGATTATATGTGAATGTAAGCATGCTGCTGATTTAGATTTATAGAGGATACCAAGGCATGATGGAATCACTTCTTCAAACCACATGTTGCTGTAGTAGATGACTGAATACCATGATCTAGAGCATGACAGCCCCACAGATTTCCAGTTCCTGGTATAATCAGTACCCATTGCTCTTGTCCTTACACTGGAGCACGTTAACTTACCAACTCTAGCACCTCACTCTCGGCACCGTGCTGGTACCCTTCATTTTCTAGGCATACCCAGCAGTCTTCTACAAACTGTAATTTGTAGTTATCTCAGAGTTCTTGTACCCCCACAGCTTAATGAGACTGGCACACCACTATTATTCTTTTCATTTGTAATTGGGAATACAAAAATCTTAAACAGCTGAATGAGTACAGTCTGAATGAAATTATCATTCCCAAAAGACATTCTGTATTATAGTTGTCAATGTAAAATGCTTAAATTGTTATCAGTTCTGTGTAGTTAGCCAATATTCAAGTTAAATATTGTTTAACAACCTTCAGACGTGACACTATGTAAAGCCCCACTGAGTCATCATTTTTTCATAATGAGGATTCCTGGGCCTGTAAAATAACACACAGAGTTAGAGGCTTTATATTAGAATATTTTTCAAGGAACTACAATAATCATAAGTGCTTTCTAATAAGCTAGCAATTCTTCAGATCTGCATTGTTCAGCATGATAGCCCATAGCCACATGTGATTTCAGATTCAATTTAAATTGAATAAAACTACATAAAATTAAAAATTCCATTCATCAGTTGCACTAGCCACATTTCAAGTGCTCAGTGGCCACATATCCTCAACACTATGTATGGAAATTTCCATCATCACACCAAGTCCTGTTGGCAAGCTCTGCTTTGGATCACTCTCATGGAAGTAAATTTAGGCCATGTTCTCACAGAGAGCTGACTTGAGCTTCACACAATTGGAAACTCATCTCTGGAAACTGGTGGAGAACTACGAGAAGGCTGCCAGCGGCTCCAAGTAACAACAGCAGCAGCAAAGCTGCCTCACCACTGCTGGAGCAGAGGGTCATTTACTCACCCTGTGTGCGGACCAGTCTGAAGGCAGGCATGAGAGAGGTGCAGCAGCTCAACAGTGTTATCAGAAGCCCTGTATCTTTGTTCTCATGCTGTTGCTTCTGGTTGCAAATTGATTCCTGCCACTCTCAGCAACCAATCTACATCCCAAGACAGAAAACATAAGGAAGAGTGAAAGCTCCTTCACTGTTCCCCTCCCCACAGACTCCAGAGGCCTAATGTGTCATCTGTCATCAGTGAGGACCCAATCATAAAACCGATGCTAGCTGCAGAGGATGCTGGGAAAGCCATTATGTTGCTTTCCAGCCTCAATTACACAAGGTAGCAGGGAGAACAGGGCAGAGAGTGTTCCCTGGGTTAGCCAGTTAGGAAGACCACCACAGAAATTTTAAAACGTTCACCTATTTCAAGACTAAATAAGACTCAACAAGCCAAACTGTTACTTTTATTCCACCAGAAGAAGTGAGAATATATTTTTAGCACTCCTATAATCCCAATGTTCTTCATTTTATCAACTCAAGTACTGTCACATATCCTCATGATATTTTATAACCATAAAGTATTTGTAATCACAGCAGCTGAGCAAATCTAAATATGTTCCTCTTCTAACCTGCTAATGTCTTTGACAATGAAGAGTAATCAGGAAATTTGTGAATCTGAATGTTTGCATTTCTGTAGTGAGGGATAAGGGTGTTCTTGGTTTAATCACAGTGTTATGAATTAATTACAAGACAAGAAGATATTGTTAACTAAACCTGCTCTACATTGATATCCAAAATTCATGAATTATGTAAAATAATAATAGTTTTTTTCTTTAAAATTGCCTCAATAAATGTCAGACTTCTATGTTAATAAGGAACAAGCAAATGACTAGCTTAGCCTTCTAGAAGGATTAATACAAATGCTCACAAGCACTACATTTCTAATTGTTCTTTCCTGCTAATAGTTTCACCTTACATATCATACTTATTATCCAATAGGATTAAATGATCAGTAGGAATTCAAATAACATTGTCTCATATTAAAAACATCAGTCAGTGAGAGTATCAAAAATAACCTCCTAAGTGGAGACTGGGACATTTCTGCAAAAGAAGAGAAAATATCTTTTGAGGAGTTTGAAGAAAAAGCCGACCAGAATTAAGTATATCCAAGAAAATCAGAGATGCATGGTAGACTCTTGGGAAGTGAAGGATACATGTTAGTTGAAGGAAATGTTTTCTCTTCCCCAAGGGCTGGGTGTACTCCTAGTCTCTTCTGTAGGAAGAGCGCCACCAGAGAGCATGACACAGGTGTGGCCTGGCCCTGAGGTCTGGCTTTCTGTGGCTAGCTCTGCAAGGTTGTCCTGGGGCTCTCCACCCACCTCAGGAATTGCCTCTGCTGTCCCCCTTTATTCCTCCCCAAACTGACCTTAGCTAGCAGCTAGTCTGTTACTTATGCAGGAGAATCAAAGCTACTCATTAAGAGCTCCTTTTGACTTATTAACAGACCACACACCAGTTGATTGCCATTGTTCTTGGGCATCTCAGTTCCTCATTCCTTGTTCTCCTAAATTGAGCTAGTTCATCTGGTAAACTGACTCCTGTCAGTGGAGTAATACATAGGTCAAGCAGGTACCTTTTCAGGTCATTTATCTGCATTTTAACAAAGACTTAAGAAAAGTGTTACCTCTACTCAGGAAGTCTTGGGAGCTAAGGTTTCAGGCGTTTGTATCACCAGTTTGAACAAATGAGAGGATGAGGAGGGAAGGACAGTAACCAACCCAACTTCAGACAGTGAATAGCACAAGAAGCAGTGTGGTGGGATGGGGAGGAGATAGGAAGAGTTATTTTATCATATAACCCTGACTTTTGAGAAGTGGTCTCCCTACAGGCAGAGAGGTGAGACAAAGCTGTGACGAGCCAAGCAGAAAAGATTTGGGTCACCAGCTCCAAGGACCATTTTCCCTCTAAAATGCATAGACCTTGTTCTTGCAAAGTTTTCTCATCTAATCATAAAGCATCTAATCCACAGGAGTAATGTGCCCAGCCTGGGCTTTGGTAGAGGCAGAAGGCATTAACAAGTCATGTAATACATTGTTATTGTCAAGGAATCTGTGTACCAGATTCCAGTGAAGATAGCAAATGCAGCAGCTTCTTTACCCAGCAAATTAGAGAAGGTCTGGCATGGTGTCAGAAATGGAGTGTCAAGCCTGATGTGGCTCTGGTTCTTGAGGAGAGAAGTAGAAGGTCCCACAGATTCCTGAACAAAGTACTTCAGTTACATGGAAAGCAAGCACCTAGAAGCTTCTCTCATCTGAGTGGAAGGAATTCTGAAACCTACTTTATTGTATTAAAGCCCTAATGTAATATGGTTAGCAGTTGTTATCCATACATGAGTTATACAGTTTGATTTATCCAGACCATTATTCTCAAATCCAAGTTAGCTAATAATTAACTAATTATTAATACCAGTAGGATTAATTTCAGTTCAGTGGTTAAATGAGAATAGAAATTTCTCTGTGGCACATGTAACAGTCGAGAGGGAAGTGGTCCAGGCTGGCAGGACAATGCCAGGCTGCTCCTATGTTGTCCCTCTGCTTCATGCGGTTTCCATTTGCAGGCCCACTTCATGGTCCCAGATTGCTGCCGAAACACCATCCCTTTGGTCCCCTTTCCAGCCAGTGGGAAGGAAGAAGGGATGAGAAAGGATATGGTTCATCCCCTTCAGAACACTTCCCAGCATTCAACCCATCCCTTCTGCTAATGGTCCATTGGCAAGTACTTAGTCCCATAGGATGGGAAATATTATTTCAGACAGGATGTTTTTTATCTAGCAAGAAAGTAAAGGAGGTCTAAACTCTGGAAGAAAGGGAGAATGGACATTAAAGGACCTGAAGCAATCTCAACCTGCTGCCCTCCCCCTACCAAGGTTATCTACTTGGTAGAATATAAACAAATGTTCACTGTTGCTTAAGAAAGCCATAGGAAAATATATTCACAGAATTTTGGGGAGAGATATAATTAATTTCAATGACTTATGCTTAGTTTCTGTTTTGCATGCTCTTTACTCCCACTACTCTCTATTTGCACAGTTAACCTTGAAAAGTTTTTTGAGAAAATGAATTGAATTTGGATTAGTTTCCCACCACCATATTTATGAATAATATATAAT